GGAATCCTGCATTGCCAACTTTAGCTTTAGGCCCCTGGAAACTGAACTACGAATTTCTTTACAGCATAATAATCCAAGCTACAGCACTTGCAAGTCCCCTAATTGGCCCCTGTTCTGATCAGCCTGGAGCAAAAGCCCTCTTTGCCCTTTTAATACAAAGATGACATAAAAGACAACCAGAAGAAGCCAATTTGTTGGAGTGATGGGTGATTTGTACTCTGAAGGTCTTCTATATGAAAGCTGCAAAAAAAAAAAAAGCAATGCTACTACAGCATCCAAGGGAAGGGAATCGATTAGGGAATTCTTTTTGTAGTTATCTCAGTTTAGGATGCTGCAGTCATTTATCAGGACCGATCGGAATCGGTAAATAATGGATTTTCAATCTAGTTTGCAATCAGAAGCCTAGCTGGTTATTTCTTTCTGGGAATGGACACCTAAAGCCAGCGGTTGGAATAAAGCCGGACTCTGAAGAACAAGGTCCTGTGAACAGGAGATCTGCAGCGTCTACCGCTGCTGAGCGCTCCGTAAAATCTTAATTAATTTACTTTGATAAGGTCACTTGGTAGGATTGCTAGGATGTCTCATTTGTTTTAACAACTGCAGACTGTGAAAGCCCAAGCTGATTAGTATTCATGAGGGACCGTCAAGTGAACATTCCTTATGGTTTAGGCTGACTTCTTCTATATATAGCCCGTAGGACCGGCCTCCTCTCCACCTCCTCCTGTGTCTATCACATCCCCAAAGCCTACTACTGGAGTGAAGCCTAGGAAAGTTCCCCAAGGCTTTCCGCATCATCCGTGAAACCAACAGCTCCGGCTCAATTCCTCCACGCTGCCGCACGACTTTCTCCCTTTAGCGTAGACACCGAGTAAAATGTCATTTCCCAGGCGCTAGGGTACCGCAAGGCTGGATGTTGTCTCCAGGAGACGCGATCGGATGTGCTGCTCCTTCTCCATAGACATTAGAGGGAAGAGGAGGAGGAGGAGGGGAGAAGATTTGGCCAAACAAAGGCATGGAGGCGAGGAGAAGGGTTCCTTCCTCACTGCAGCCGAACAGGAAGCCTAATGGCAGGTCTACATCTATACAGCTTCCATGAAATATCTACCGCATCAAAAACCACTCCCCCCTCACACTGCTGAACCTCCACAATCTATGACTCACCCTCCTTACTAAAGAGAAAGCGCCGCAAATGAATAGCCAGGCAATCAGATGGGAGCTGGAGAGCTGCAAATGGCAAGGAGACCAAGATTGGATGATCAGCAATAATAGGGAGAGCTGATGAGCAAATACACTCATCTTACCCAAGTGGCAGGACTAGTGGGGTGTAGGATTAGGACAGCTGGCCATGACTATCATTCAATGAAAAGGCAATAGACGACAAGAGCAGCCATGCACATTGTTCTAATGAGCAGATCTATCATTCTGTTTTCATTAAGATCCATGATACATATGCATTCGGCCTTTAATTACAGCTGTGCATGCCTACGATGCATGTATGTGGTCAAAAGGAAGTATACTACATAAGCATTCATGCAGATTTTACTATTGGATCGATCAATCGATCGCTCTATCTATCTATCTATTTTCATTAATATCCTATTAAATATATACTTTCAGTAATTGATTACAGCTGTGCTGTGATCCAAAGGCAATAGGCAACATAAGCATCCATGAAGATTTTACAATTGGAATCTATGTATCTATCTATCTATCTATCTATCTATCTATCTATCTATCTATCTATCTAGCTAGCTAGCTATTATCATTAATATCCCATTTAACATATACATTCAGTAAATAATTACAACTGTGCATGCCTACAATGCATGTCTGTGAACAAAAGTCAATAGGCAACATAAGCATCCATGAAAATTTTACAATTGAAATCTATCTATCTATCTATCTATCTATCTATCTATCTATCTATCTATCTATCTATCTATCTATCTATCTATCTATCTATCTATCTATCTATCTATCTATCTATCTACCTTCCTACCTACCTACCTACCTATCTATCTAGCTAGCTAGCTAGCTAGCTACTTTCATTCACACCCCATTAACATATGCACCCAGTAATTAAACATGACTATGTATGCCTACAATGCATGTCTATTATGCATGTTAGGCAAAGACAATTTACAAAAACATCAGAAGTATTTCAATTAATCTATCTATCTATCTATCTATCTATCTATCTATCTATCTATCTATCTATCTGATTTAATTTACACCCATTATACATAGACGTTCATCAAGTAATTGCAGCGGTGCATGCCTACAATGCATGTATAGAATAAAAAGACAACATGCAAGAGCTTCACGCAGATTTTAAAACTGGATTATTCAAATGATCTATAAATTTGATTTCTTTTTAACCATAAATAGTTGCATTCAGCAATTAATTACAGCTAGGCATGCTTACAATGCATGTTTACTATGCATGTGATGACAATGCAATGCACAAGAGTATAATGGTTATTACAATCTATCTATCTATCTATCTATCTATCTATCTATCTATCTATCTTTTCATTTATATCCAGTATATGCATGCATTCAGCAATGAATTATAACAGTGCATGCCTACGATGCATGTCTACCATGCATATGCTGAAAATGCAACATGCAAGACTTTCAGGATTATTCTAATTAATCCATGTATCTATCTATATCTATCTATCTATCTATCTATCTATCTATCTATCTATCTATCTATCTATTATACATATACATTCAGCAATTCCTTCCAGCTGTGCATGCCTACAATGCATGTCTACTATGCATGTGATGTAAAGGCAAACTACAAGAGTATCAGGATCACTCCAAACAATCTATGTAGTTATCTATATATCTACCTATCTTTTAATGTATATCCATTATAAATATACATTTAACAATTTCTTCCAACTGTGCATGCCTAGAGTGCATGTCTGTTATGCGTGTGATGAAAAGGCAACCTACAAGAGTATCAGGGTTATACCTATCAACCAACAAAACTATGTACAGTATCTGTCTATCTATCTATCTATCTATCTATCTATCTATCTATCTATCTATCTATGTCCTGTATATCCATTATACATATAATGTGCATTCAGCAACTGCTTCCAGCTGTGCATGCATACAGTTCATATCTACTATGCATGTGATGAAAAGGCAATCTGCAAGAATATCATGATTATTTCAATCAATCAATCAATCTTGCTATCTATTTCTCTATCCATCAATTATTTCATGATATACATTATAGGTATACATTCAGCAATTGCTTCCAGCTGTGCATACCTGCAGAGCATGTCTACTATGCATGTGATGAAAAGGCAATCTGCAAAAATATCAGGATTATTCCAACCAATCAATAAATCAACCAACTAGCTATCTCTCTACCCATCTATCATTTCATGTATATCCATTATAGGTATACATTCAGCAATTCCTTCCAGCTGTGCATGCCTGCAGTGTATCTCTACTATGCATGTGGTGAAAAGCCAATCTACAAGTGTATCAAGATTATTCCAACCAATCTATAAATCAACCAATCTAGCTATCTCTCTACCCAGCTATCATTTCATGTACATCCATTATAGGTATACATTCAGCAATGCCTTCCAGTTGTGCATGCCCACAGTGCATTTCTACTATGCATGTGGTGAAAAGCCAATCTACAAGTATATCAGGATTATTCCAATCAACCAATCTATCTCTCTATCGATCTATCATTTCATGTATAGCCATTATAGGTATACATATTCAGCAATTCCTTTCAGCCTTGCATGTCTGCAATGCATGTCTACAAGGAAAAGGCAACATGCCAGCAGAGCATCCATGCAGAATTTAACATTGGATCGTTCCAATGAAATGACAGATCGATCTCCCGATTTTATTTCAGGTATATATCCATCATCCATATCCATTCAGCCATTACCACCTCTAGCTGTCTATGCCTAGAGCTGATCACGTGACAGACAATAAATCCACATCGTAATGTGAAGCTCCGATTTGTCTGTGTATCTAGGCAGACGTTTATCAATATTGTATGTTTACACACAGATCCATAGAAGCCCACACAATCGCGGCCGGTTTGTGTGTGTGTGTGTGCGTCTGTGTGCGCGCGCCTGCCTCCGTGTGCGTGTATGTGACATCACATGGAATCCAAACAGGAGCCCGTCAGTCTCTAAACTTACAGGGGGGAATCCAAACCAGCAACCCAATTTTTTTTTATTTATTTTTAAATAAGAGTGTCAGTAGATCGCTGCTCTTTAATAGTAACATTTTTTTAACGCTTGCCCTGCGCGTTGATTGATATCCTTTTTTTTCTTCCTTCCCTTTCCAGCAGCACTCCCTCAGCAAATGGATTTTTGCCACTGCAGCTCAGCAGAGGGTGTCAGATCTTTCAGAGTGCACCAGGCTGAGACGAACACAAGCCTCTTAGCAGCTGACTCGTTTCCCTGAGATCTTCCGCACTGTAAAGGGTGTCCTGTACGATCCACAGACGGGAGACGGAAGGGTGACAAGGCTTGAAAAAAAAAAAAACGCAGCGATTGCGGAAATTTTGCAGCGCCATTGGCTCGGCGGCGAGTTTTTCGGCTGGGGCGTGATTTCAGCACCAAAAGCTGTGAACAGCACACACGTCCGTCCGGCGGCTGGAGGATGAGAGCAGGGCAAGGTAACCGGCTTGGGCACCCTTCTCCCCGATCCCTCCATCGCTGAGGGCTGTCATTGCCAGCCTGTCATCAGTCGGATGGTCGCTGCTGCATACGTCTTGCATCCTACGTGACTATCATTTGTGGATCTATTATTGACTGTCGTCTGGGATTGTTGCAGTGGAGGAGCCCAGGGCTGAGACAAGCCCCGAACCCCTCTAGCAGGTATTTTATTCCTCCTTTTTTTTTTTTTTAGATCCTCCGTTATCTCAGATCTTTTTTTTTTTTTTTTGCTGGAAATGGATTGTTAACACCTTTGCGATGAGATCGGGATATGCATTGCTCTGATTAAAAATGCTGCTTTGGATTCTGCTGCTGGAGATATCTCTTTGTCTGGCCGCTGGAAACGTTACCCGAGACGTCTGCAAAGAAAAGATCTGTTCCTGCAACGAGGTGGAGGGAGATCTGCATGTGGACTGCGAGAAGAAGGGATTTACTAACCTGCAGCACTTCTCGGCTCCCACTTCGCAGTTCTATCACCTCTTCCTGCATGGGAATTCTCTAACCAGGCTTTTCCCTAATGAGTTTGCCAACTTTTACAATGCCGTCAGCCTGCACATGGAGAACAATGGCTTGCATGAGATCGTCCCCGGTGCCTTCTTGGGCTTGCAGCTGGTAAAACGCTTGCACATCAACAACAACAAGATCAAGTCCTTCAAAAGGCACACGTTCCTGGGGCTGGATGACCTGGAATACCTCCAGGCTGACTTCAACCTGTTAAGAGACATTGACCCAGGAGCCTTCAGGGACTTGAACAAGCTTGAGGTTCTAATCCTGAACGACAACCTCATTAGCACCTTGCCCACCAATGTGTTCCAGTACGTGCCCATCACCCATCTGGATCTGCGGGGCAACCGAGTTAAGACATTGCCCTACGAGGGGGTGCTGGAGCAGATCCCTGGCATAGCAGAAATCCTGCTGGAGGACAACCCTTGGGACTGCAGCTGCGATCTCTCAGCCTTAAAGGAATGGCTAGAAAATATCCCAAAGAATGCCTTGATCGGTAGGGTGATCTGCGAGGCCCCCACTAGGTTGCAGGGCAATGATTTAAACGAGACCTCAGAGCAGGAGCTGTGCCCCTTAAAAAACGCAGTCGATTCTAGTCTAGCCGCCCCCCCTGCCCAAGACGAAACTTGTGATCCCGGTCCAATTCCAACCCCCTTTAAAATCAATGGCCAGGAGGACACGGCCACCCAGGGCTCCTCGGTGAGCGGAGGGACAAAGATCCCAGGCAACTGGCAAATCAAAACCCGACCCACAGCTGTGGTGTCTGAGATGAATGGCCAACACAAAGCCCCCCACGTCTTTGCCTGCCCGGCCATCTGCAGTTGTGGCCAGCAGATCCTCGGCCCTGGATTAAAAGTAGACTGCAGCAACAAGAACGTCAAAAGCCTGTCTGACCTGGAGCCCAAACCCCCCAATGTGCAGGAATTGTTCCTGAGGGAGAACAAGATCCACACCATCCGGAAAGCCAACTTTCTGGATTATGGCAACCTGACCCTCCTGGATCTGGGCAACAACAACATAGGCATGGTGGAGAACAACACCTTCCACAACTTGACCGACCTGAGATGGTTGTACATGGATAAAAACTGCATAGACACCCTCACCCCAGAGAAATTCACCGGTCTGCAAAGCTTGGAGTACCTGAACCTTGAGTTTAACTTCATCCAACTCATCCTACCCAACACCTTCAACCCCATGCCCAACCTCAGGATCCTCATCCTCAACAACAACCTGCTCAAGTCTCTACCAGTGGATGTGTTTGCTGGGGTCAGCCTGTCCAAATTAAGTCTTCACAATAACTACTTTATGTACCTTCCAGTGGCAGGGGTCTTGGACCAGCTCACGTCCATCATTCAGATAGACCTGCATGGGAACCAGTGGGACTGCTCCTGTAACAATGTGCCTTTCAAACAATGGGCAGAGCGACTTGGCCCCGAGGTCATTGTAAGTGATCTCAAATGTTATTTCCCAGAGGAGTTCTGGGGGAAAGACTTCAGATTTCTTTCTAATGACATGATGTGTCCTTTGCTGTATGCAAAAATTTCCCCAACTCTCAATGCTCTTCACAAAAACAGCACTGGCTTGGCAGAGACCAACACTCACCCCAATTCCTACCTAGAGACAAGCAGGGTGTCTATCTCTGTGCTGGTGCCAGGACTCTTGCTGGTGTTTGTCACCTCTGCCTTCACAGTAGTTGGCATGCTGGTATTTATCCTTAGGAACAGGAAAAGATCGAAGAGAAGAGATGCCAACTCCTCAGCCTCTGAAATCAATTCCCTGCAGACAGTGTGCGATTCTTCTTACTGGCACAGTGGCCCCTATAATGCAGATGGCACTCATAGAGTTTATGATTGTGGGTCTCATTCACTGTCAGACTGAAAGGGAGTGGGTGGGAGGAGGGTTTCATAAATACTGCACCCACAGCTTTCATTTACTATCAGGACACAAATTAATTATATTATTATTATTATTTTTTTTTTTTGCTGTAACAGTCGCTACACTTGTGCCATTCCCATAAACTAGGATTTCTTTGCAAAGCTACCTTATTGCGAATACACAAAGGACGCCTATGAATAATTCAAGTACTGGTAAGAGACCCATATACAGTACCAGTATGCCAGCTGTGCTACCTGCCGCAGTTAACAGTGAATAATAACCATGAGATGTGGATGGGGTAACCAGCCATAAAATGGTATTTAACTGGGGAGGGGGAGGGGGGGTTGTGCTCCAGGAGGACCAGAGGCTGGAATAAAAAAAAAAAAGGGGGGGCCTTCTAGTTGTGCAGCGTCTGCTCTCTGCTGTGCTGCTGCTGCAGAACGTTGCACGGAGGCATGAATGTCATGTAAATAAGTGACTAGTCAAATAAAAAAAAACAAACAAAAAAACTAAAAATCAAAAAGTGCTGCATGGCTCGCATGGATACAACGTACCCCGGGGGCGATCACATCTGAGCAACCAATATCTCTGCCCTCTCCCCCCCAAAAAATAAATCTCATCTTCTTCAAGTCTCTCGCTATACAGTATCGGTATACTTAAAGTGCCATTGCTCTATCTTTTGTAATGAATAACGCAGTACAGATCCTAAGTTTACTGTGGGGATATATATATAAAAAAAAAAGAAATTCTATTGTACTGTTTTTATTTAAGATGTGTTTGCATGACTAGTTCCATTATTCCTCGATTTGATTTCTTTCTTTTAGGCAGATCTGTATTCATTTGATGACATGACCATATGCATTTCCATTCTGAATGTATAATGATTATCGGTTATTTTTTTATTATGGTTACAGTGTATACAAGTCAAACAAACAAACATAAAAAAGTATCCCGATGCAGATAAGCATGAAGAAGTACTGTCATTCTGATGCTTAGGGTGGGAGGCTAGCTGGAAAAAAAAAATCAAATAATAAATCTGAAATTAAACAAGGAAATAATCATGGCAAAAGGCAATGGGGGTGATGTTGGAAACTCAGTAATTATATTCAAAATTTTATAATGGCATATTTTTCAGTATTAAAGTGAAATGTTTCCAAATGTCTGCTTGTCGTTGTTGCTTGTTGGTCCCGGTTGTGTTTGGCTGCTGGAGGATGCACGTATTTACTAAGGTGGCAGCTAATCTTGGGCGAATTGGCAGTCGGATTGGGGCAATGCAGATGCAGCGTTTGGGGACGTTCATCTGAAATTCCTGTAATTGACTCGCCATAGAGCGGACTCATTAAGCTGATTCCAGATTTGAATCGTCAGCACTTCGAGCCCAGATGCAGCACAAATGACTGACAGTCTTGTCTGCAGACAATTTAGCATCAGCATCTGTAGGAAATGTGAAAACTAATTAGTGGGAGAAGCGTCCCACAGGCTTTGTGTTTTTTTTTAATGTTCCCACACCATTTATGAATAAACCGTCCTGGCTTTTCAATCACATTCCTCACATTTCAGATATCTTGATGCAACAGATATGGGGCTCTCCAGGGAAGCTCCATACCCATGAAATATACATTTCCCATCAAGGCACAGTCGTGATTACTACTATATGTGCATTCATCTCAGAATAAAGACTGTTGGTTTTTATGGCTTTAGATTCGATGTAAGCAAAATCCACATTCTGGATGCATTCTGCAGGTTGTCTAGGCAGGGGATGAGCTCACACAGCTTCAGTTTACATGGAAGGAGCTTGAATATATGGAGGCACAATGCAGATGCACGCTTTACTGAATATTGAGGTTATTTTAAAGTGCATTTCCACTTTTGCAGCCAAATTGGGATACCATCTGCTTTATATTTGTAAATATATATTCTACATGTTCTCATTCACATAGCATAACTTGAAGCAGAACTGAAGTTCCTCTGCTACATACTGTGAGCAGACAGGCTTTTTATTACAGAAGAGACATGCAAGGTGGTTGATTTTATAATTGTAAATATGTTCTACATGTTCTCATTCACATAGAATAACATGAAGCAGAACTGAAGTTCCTCTGCTACATTCTGTGAGCAGGCAGGTTTTTTAATTACAGAAGAGACATGCAAGGTGGTTGATGTTATATTTGTAAATATGTTCTACATGTTCTCATTCACATAGCATAATATGTAGCAGAACTGAAGTTCCTCTGCTACATTATGTGAGCAGGCAGGTTTTTTAATTACAGAAGAGACATGCAAGGTGGTTGATTTTATAATTGTAAATATGTTCTACATGTTCTCATTCACATAGCATAACTGAAGTTCCTCTGCTACATACTGTGAGCAGGCAGGTTTTTCATTACAGAAGAGACATGCAAAGTGGTTGACTTAGGGTCCATGCACGCTGGCTTAAAAAAAAACGCTACTGATAGAGGAGTTTAGTGTTTTGCCTGTGAAAGCAACTAATGTTATCCTAGCTGTCCATTAGGTCATTTGAGGCATATTTTATTTATTTCAGGTACTTATATAGCGCCATCAATTTACGCAGCACTTTACACATATATTGTACATTCATATCAGTCCCTAACCCTCAAGGGGTGTACAGTCTAAGGTCCCTAACTAACATTCATACATACACATACTAGGGCCAATTAAACAGGATCCAAATGACCTGCCAGCATGTCTTTGGAGTGTGGGAGAAAACCGGAGTACTCAAAGGAAACCCATGCAGGTACAGGGAGAAAATACAAACTCCAGGCAGGTGGTGCCATGGTTGGGATTTGGACCAATGACCTTAGTACTGCCAGGTGGAAGTGCTAACCATTTAGCCACTGTGCTGCCCAAATTTAAAGCTCAGTGTTTAAATGCAGAAGGAAAACCTTTCTGTTTTGTTTTTTTAGAGAGCAGAAAAAAAACGCTCTGAAACGATAGTGCGAAAAAAAACGTCAAAAATTAGCATTTTTTCTGCCAAGAGCACTGTTTTTTTTTAAGCCAGTGTGCATGGTGTTCTAACACCCAAAAACTGGAGAGTGGAAAACCTGGTGCAGCTCTGCATAGAAACCAATCAGCTTCCAGTTTTTTTTTTCCAAAGCATAATTGAACAAGCTGTAGTTAGAAGCTGATTGGCCATCATGCACAGCTGCACCAGATTTTCCACTCTCCATTTTTAGTGAATCAGTCCTAATGTTTCTTCTGTAATTAACTAAACCTATCAGCCTTCTCATAGTGATCCCTGGACTACAAACTGCTTACGGCGGCCATCCCAATCACTGTGTGCCAGAATGACTAGCTGCTGTGCATGCGTAGGAGTGAAGTCATCCTGCTCCAGCCAATGAAGATGGCTGAAAACCAGCACACAGGAGAAGATGCCAGCGAGGGACTGTTGGAAAGGCAAGTATTAACCCTTTAGTTCACACTAGATGCAGTCCAGTAGGTTTTTTTTCTGCATCAAAAATGCATGCACAGTGTTTTCCATGTATTCCAATGGCCCTAGATCACACTAGTACAGTCAGTTCCAGTCAGTTTCCGGTGCAGAAAAAAAGTAGAACATGCTGCATTTTTTCTGCACAGAACCATACTGGAACATGTCAAACTACATCAAAACTGCACCGTAACTGTGTGTGGTGTGAACTGTTAGCAAAAATGTATCTGGAATACATCTGGAGTGCATTTTGTAGAGTGAACTGGCCTGAAAGCCTAAGTTGACATTTGAAACTCCTCCTGCACATTGTGGCTGTACCTGCACTACCAGTGTTTGCTGCTTATTTAGTCTAGGAGAGAGTAAAAACACTCAACTTGATCCTCTGCTCCCCAGGCAGATGGCACTCCCTTGTACTCAGTAGTGGATTTCCCTTGGCATCATCATGCCTAATGCAGGGCTATAGACTCTGAATTGATCTTGATGAAATCAGGACCTTATACCACTGGAATATGGGGGAGAAGACACTGCAGAAACCAGTGTACCTGTGTGGAGGAGAGGATGGGGATAAGTAGATCTTCTTTTCTATGTTCCTTAGACCTAACTGATGGAACCCCACTGCAAAGAAGCATTTTTATGTTTATGATGGGTTTTAAGGCTAATTCATACTAGCTGCAACATTATGACAGTGCAGTCCAGTGGGATCACCGCAGCGCTGATGCACCACAATGTTCATTTTTTTATATGAACTTTACTGAAATGTAACACATACATTTTCTAAAGTTCAATTGGCTGCTGCGCAGTATGAGACAGTGGATTTTTTTTTACCTTGCACTGCCCGCACACCACCGCAATGCAGTGGGGTGACCTAGGCAAACAGGGGACAAGGAATTTTGCCTTGTCATGCAATGAACCTGCACTAGAATAGCAGCCCAATGCAGTCCCACCACATCTGATGTGAATAAACTCTTAAAGCTGAATTTTAGTAAGGCAATTTTTACATAGTTGCATTGGTCCAGCTATATGCCACATCTGTGGGATCCCCGTGCATCTATAGACACCAGTACTATAGTGATTTCAGCTAGCTTCCAGTTTCCATCCTAAGAAACTGCACCTCTACTTACTGAATACATGAGGTCACCTGCTCAGAATTCATTGCACTTTCTTTTGTGATGTAATCTTTTTGGGATAAAAACCTTTTTTGGACCATATCAGAGATCCGTGGCGTGGTGGCGAATATGTATGTTTGCTTGTGATGTGTACTCCCAGCTGGTAGTCGCTACAGCACCCTCCATTGATGAGCCATTCCAGGAATGTGTGCAAAGGGCATATAGTTATAGACCTGCTCAGCATTGGTGCCATTCAGAGAACACTTTGGGGGAGATTTACTAAAACTGGTGCACTCAGAATCTGGTGCAGTTGTGCATGGTAGCCAATCAGCTTCTAAGTTTAGCTTGTTCGATTAAGCTTTGACAATGAAACATGGAAGCTGATTGGTTTTTATGCAGAGCTGCACCAGATTTTGCATTCTCCAGTTTTAGTAAATCACCCCCTTTGCATT